TAGCAGGACTCAGGAAACGGGCCTTCTCTATCATCATGCCTGTCCTCTGAAACTGCATCCCCTGGAGATTTGTGTGACCATTAGCTTACCAGACTATAAAAGAGAATTGAAAACATGTCTCTTTCCCCAGAAAAATGAGGGCTAGTATGGTTGTGTATGTTACGTGTATATCCAGATTAGTCTTATAATATTCACTTGTACACATAGCCTATTGGACCTGCAGATTTCGTAGTCTTCTTCTGCTCTCTACTTGGGTTTTCTAGATAGGTGGGTCTAGAGCAGGGGTCATCAAACTTGGCCCTTTTATGACTTGTGGACTTCAACTCCCAGAATTCTTTAGCCAGGCATGCCTGGCTGAGGAATTCTGGGAGTTGAAGTCCACAAGTCATAAAAGGGCCAAGTTTGAAAACCCCTGCTCTAGAATATATGAAACAATGCAACTCTGATTAACAATCAGGAAATATTTAGGAACACAAGCAAATAAACTGTACAGTGGGATACATAAAGTTCTGATGGAATACATGGAGACTTGATGAATTCGAAGTTTCAGCTAAACTTCACTGGATTCTCCTTCTGTCTCTCTCACACATATGACCATCTGGTAACCAATGCATTTCTCAACTAGGCTATCCATATACCTGTACTAGCTAGATAGATGGAAACCACAAAGTCTTCATCCAGAACAACTGCAAGAAGGATGGGTTTTAGGACCCCTTTTATCATTTAAAGTTCTTGCTTCGTTGATTCATAAGTGTGGTAGCTGTTGATGGGATTAGGAGTTTTTTCTGTGTGCTCAGTGCCAACCCTCCAGGTTCCTTTGGTAGCAGGTTGATTCATATCTTTCTCTTGAAATGTTTTGGCTTTTGTCCTCTCTGCATCAATGCCACCTCTATTTTTAGATGATGGCAACTTCAAGTTCGTTTTACATTTTTACACAATCCAGTCTCAGGTGGGACTTTATGCCTATTCTGGTGGGAGATACAGTTTGTTTGTTGTTCTTTGTGGGAGATGCTTCCTTAGGTTTTATTGTTGACTTTATACTTCTTGTTCATGTCAGGCTGCCCAGAGCTGTTGCGTGGCATAAATATTCTATTAATAAATAAATGATAAGTGAATGAACAAGCGTTCTAGCCATCCCTGTAATTAGTGATTGATTTTGTGATTGGTGGCTAAATGTTGAAACTGGATGATAAATAAATTGCCCAGTTTTGGCTGCTCCTGCCGGTTTTGTTTCCAAAGCACTATTCCACCAAACTTGATGCATCTCAGTATTCCACTCCTATCCAACCTGTTGGGAATTCCTATCTTCCCCACATCAACAATGACCCCCCCCCCCGCCTGACTCAGCACTCCATATGCACAACTCCCCAGGACTGAAATTCAGATCCAGAGGATGATACGCACCAATCCCTGTCTCCCTGTAGGGCTGTTCTTGAAAATGCTTAGCCCCCACCTCCATAGTACTCCCCTTTTACTTGATGCTGGGAATGTGCAATTTTAGTAGTGGTATGGTGCTTTAAAACTTGAGCAAACCTGGGCAGAGCATTAACATGCTCTGTTCATTAACATGTCCTTCTGTTGCTTCCGGAGAGTTGGCTGCAGAATGAGCTATGTTTGCCCCCATTCTGTACAGCATCTACAAAGCACAGCCAACAGAACACAACTAGCTCCCGTACCACTTTGGTACGAAAAGCCTCTCCCTCCTATGGAGCTGCCCTTATGGTGACATGGCAGCATACACCTAATCCCAGTTTGAGTGGTATATGCCCAGATTCCTGGGCCAGAGATAGCCTTGCTGCTCATTTGATGAGTTGCTAGTTTCTTTTCTTTTCTTTCTTTTAATTAAGATTGGGTTTTTCCTATTTTCTGTTATTTTTCTATTAAGATTCTTTCATGATATCAGTTTTTCATCCTGAGTGATATATGCTGAAAAGAGCATGAACTCAAACAAGAATTTCTAGCTAGAGATACTGATTTCAGTTACATAACTTTGCATCCTGTTCTGTCTCAAGGCTTACTAGTCATTCCGTACCTTTACAGAAATCAATCCACAATTGTCATCAAGAGAAATCTTATTCAGAGAAACCTGCAATAAGTGATATATCTATTTGCCTTAACCATGTTTTGTGAAAAGGTTGAGTTGTAAAGTTCTTGCTAGAATTAACTGAACTAAACTAAAAATCATTTGGTTTTAGTTTAGCAAAATATGCAAACCCAGTCAGTTTTTTCTGTTTTGTGTTCATGTCTTTACCTTGGTCCTTTTATTGAGGATCAAAATGAAAGGAAATCCTCTTGAAAGTTTGCTGTTATTAGGCAAAACAGTCATTAAATCCACTTATTATTTATCATTAACTAGGCCAACGTAAACTGTTCTTTCATCACTTGGTCCTGCAAGAATCTATAGAATTATTTTCTGGTGGAATTGGTGAATTATATTATTGTTATATTAGATAATGAAAAGTGATTGAGTACAGTTGATGAAAAGTTACCTTATAACAATTGGGCATGCAACTGAGCACTTTTGCTGGTTGCCAAGACCTGGAGACTTAATTTCAAGGTAGTGCTAGGCTTTTGTATGGTTTATTTGGTTTTCACTTAGTATGTTGGGGGTTTGTAAGCCATGGTTTGTTACCTAATGTTACTCAGTTGTGATTCAACAGATAATTTGTTGAGCCCAGCCAACCTGTAGCTGTTTTTGAAAAGTGTTTGACTACTTAAAAGGTGACAGAGTTTTATCTAGTGCTTCCATTGATTTCTGAGTTTAATTACAATGTTTTATCTCGTTTAAACAAAAGACATCATAGTGGACGTGCCAGGCCTCCTGTCGTCCACTGTCTCTCTGAGTCTGCCCAAATTCATGCCCATTGCATTGATGATTAATCTGAAGGACTTCATTTATTCAGGTTAGCAATAACTTGTTCAAGCGTGTAAGTATGCTGAATGGTAAACAGGGAGAGAGCTATCTTTGTCCTGACACACTCTGTCTCAGATTATAAAATGGCTTCCTTCCCTTATGTCTTGTAAATATTTTGACAAATTTATGATTTGGCTGCATCTTAAATCATAGTTCCTTATTTCTCCTGGCTCTGTGCTTGTTGATTAAATGCCATGCTCAGTGGCTTCATTTTTTTAATGTCTGATTTAATATGTGACAGTTTCATCTCAATGATGCCCCCCCTCAACAAGATTCATACAAGATGGAAAGTAAAATGGCTGAATAAATAGAAGCGAAGATATCTTTTCCCATTATATTTATTGAATGAATGAATGAATGAATGAATGAATGAATGAATGAATGATGAGGCTGCTCAGCTTGAACATACTTGCTCTGGTAGTGTATAATAAGTCAAAATCCAAGAAAAATAAATATAATTAAAATCCATATACCATACAGTATAAAACCCCATACAATAGTTTTATATACGTATAACATGTTCAAGGGTTAAAGATGTCATTTATTAAGATTTATACTAAGTATAACTTTTGAATTTCTAGATCAAGGCTATTTGAATTAAAATATTGCTCATAGTGGATAATTCAAACTTCATGTGGATAGAGGTAGTTCTTGACTTATAACCAGCTGCTTAGAGATCGTTTTAAGTTACATCAGACCTCCCAAAATGGACTTAACTCATTCCAATGTCAAACCGCTTCCCTGTAGTCATGTGACCATATTTTGGGTAACCAGTCCACATTTATTTGGTTAGGTGACCTTGATTTATGATGTTCTGTGACAAACTAGTTACTTTTGTGGCAAACGAATGGTTATTTTTAATTTTTGGCAATGAAACCATAGCAGACAATGAGTTTGTTTAAACAATCACACAAGTCACTTAACAATCACCCTAAAAAAAGGTTGTAAAAATGGGTCCAGTCACACTTTGTGACCGTCAGAACCTAAGACCATAATTGCCAGGCTCAATTACGGTTGTAAATAAAAGACTACCTATAATTTACCCAACTCTATTTTTTTTATTATTGTCTGAAGGTGGTAAGGATGGTAATCAGTCCAGACACAAATGGGATTGAGCATTTCTGTCATTGAAGCTCAGGCTGACAGAATATCACGGCTAATTTAATTTTGAGATTAAGATGATGCCTGCTATCTTCTAATAAATTACACATTGTTTCTCTAATTCCCATTTAATTATTTCCATTATTCCAGTTCTTTTTAATTCTTCAAATTTGCATCTTTTTTTCCCTTTTGCATTTAGAAATCTCCTCAGAAAGAAATTTTCTATTACTTTGAGCAAGCAACTTTCCCTGTGTCTTTATATTTTTGCTTCTGATCCTAGACTTTCAGTTTGAGCCATAACAATTAGTAGCTATTACAGTCTTTTACCTCTCTGGTTATGTTTAATGATCATGTTATGATAGTGGCTTCTATAAATTATGCATTGGGATTTGGTAGAAGATTAGGTTTTGATTAAATCATGCATTTACCAGTGAAGGGATGGCAGACATTTATTATATTTCTTAATTTCTTTCTCTTATTCTAACTTTGTAAGCTGAGCGGCTTGGTGACCCAGAGGCGGAGCTCTCTTGCCTCACAATCAGGAGGCTGTGAGTTTGATCCTAGTTAGTAGCAGATATTTCTCTCTCTGGGCGCAAAGAGAAATATCTGCTGTGAGCTCCGTGTAGGCGTCAGGAAGGGCATCCGGCCAGTAAATGCTCAGCTCCATTCAGTCTCTGCGATTCCACCCCGATGCAAAGGATTACAGGGTCATTAAAAAAAATAATCTAAGTTTGCAAGCTGGATGGGCTCAGTTAAAGTGATGATGGATACACCTTTCATAGATCTGGGGATCAGATTAGGGCAGATCCTCATGGAGAAAATCTATGTGTTTGCTAAGCGTTAACACTGATTTGATGGCACATCATCTAATCAATTCTAAGTTTAAAATTAAATTCACTAAAAGTTGAAATATTGATCAAATTTGAAATATTCTGAGTGTTGCTGATAGTATTCTGAAATTGTTATGTTTTCTCTTACATTTTAGGGTGCTGTGTTTTTGGAAGGAATATCCGTTAAACGTGTAATTCAAGTAACAAGTCAACCAAGGTTAGGAGAAATCCAACTTAAATGCCAACAATTTTGTGGCTGGAAAGGGTATGTGAATACAATTTTTAAAATGCAGTTTGAATATTCTGTAACACATTTTCTCCATCATGGCACCAAGATGGATGTCTACTTGGTTAGGCTTGTTTTGTTTGAGGATGTTGTGAATGGTGTCAGTTGCTTGGCCAGCAGGAGGAACAGAATGAGTGGCAGCAGCAACAACAACAATGGCACAGATAGCTGGCAAAATGACAGTGGATTGAGTAAGTTGAGGCTGGTGTGCAAATGTGTTGGGCAGTGGTCTCTTCATTTCAATGGTTGTGGTGCTCAGTAGTGCAGTGGATCAGTTGCTTTGCTTCAGCTGACAAGGGGCTCAGAGTAAACTCCAGAGGACTTGGCTCTTGCCTACCTTCTTTGGAATGCTGCTATAGAGATTTTAAAGATAGACTTGGCTGGGCTGGTACAGGATGAGGAAGTGGCAGTGACTGCAAGATCCTGACTATTGGAGTCCCCAGTAGAGTTCCCTAGGCGCCAGGCAGTTTGTGGCAACAGGAACAGGAGAAGGCATAAGAGCTGTGGGTAAGCTGCTGTGTGTCTTGCAACTGCTTTCCCACTGGCTACATGGTAAAGCAACCACTTCTCTGGATTCCTTTCCAGACCAGGAAAAACTTGGGATGGAGGCCACTGGCACTTAGATTTGAGATTTTATATGGGCCAGGAGTTTTTTGCTTGGTTTTGGTTTGAGTGGTAGTTTGGTGTGGCTGGATCCTTTTTGGTTCCCTTGTGTGAGAGATGGTAGGTATTAGAGGGGGCTGTGGCCCATTCCTTTTGGGTGTGTGCATGACCTCTCCACTCCCAGGTGACAGCAAGAATGGGGTGGGGAGATGGGGTATAAGAGGAAGGATTGGGTTTGGATGATGGAAGAGTTGGATTGAAGGAATGTTGTGTGAGGCATTAGATTGTGGTCTGCTTGGGTGGAGTCTTTGAGTGTGTATACATCTGTACCCTGGGCCGGGTAAGTGATATGTTGTAGTGTTGTCCAAGTGCCTGGAGGCTAGAAGAGTCTGCATGGGGACGAACTGATTTTGGCTCAACTCTGATAAGATAGAGTAGCTTTCAATTTTTATCTCTCCAGGGTCTGATGATTTAATTCTGGATGGGGTTGCACTTCCCTGGACTGAGCTGGGGCTCCTCTTTGATTGCACAGATTTGTCTTGTGTGCTACTTGTGTCCTTCCTGGATCAGGAGACCTTGCACAGAGTCACTCATGCCTTAGTTACCTCCTAGCCGAAGTATTGCAATGTGCTTTATATGGGCTTGCCTTTGAAAAATATTTGGAAGTTGCAACTGGTTCAGAATGCAGCAGCATGCACAATTTTGGATGCCCCTAGGTTGTCCATGTTTCACCTTTATTGTGCAAGAGGAAAAGTTGGGTTTGGGGGTGATGGAAGAGTTGGATTGAAGGAATGTTGTGTGAGGCGTTAGATTGTGGTCTGCTTGGGTGGAGTCTTTGAGTGTGTATACATACATCTGTACCCCGGGCCAGGTAAGTGATGTGTTGTGGTGTTGTCAGAGTTTTCTGGGTGCAATCCAAGGTGCTAGTTAGCTTCTTTAAAGCCCAACATGGTATGACACCTGGTTATTTATTGGGTCTATTTTTAAGAATATCTGCTGTTCTCTGTAGATCAGAAAGGGTGGGCATGCTCTAGGTCCCATCCCTGAAATTTTGTCATCTAACCCTAACCTTAAAAGCATGACTTTTCCAAAGTTGCTCCTACCTTGTAGAATATCTTTCTGTGGTGATTTGACAGGCCCCACCCTTCCAGCCTTTTGGAAGGCTGTTAAAATTTGGCTTTGTATTGAGGTGCTGGGCTTTTATGGGCAGAAGGCATGGAAGGAGGGTAGTTGAGCTTGCCTTGTGCATCAAAAGGGAAACACTTCTGTTTTTGTTTATTGCTTTTATGATTGTTTTATTTATTAGTTTTTAAATAAATACAGCTAAACAAAGTGGACTTTAGCTCTCATAAATCCCTTAGTTAGCATGGGTAATATTTAAGGATTATGGAAGTTGCTTAGGCTGGACGTGGATCACTTGTGGCAATGTAACAACTCTAAGCTGATGACACACTTAACTTAGCCCCCCTCCCCCAAACTCTGCCTGCTCTTCTACATGATGCTGGTATAAAAAGCATTGCTATAGGGACAGCATTTTCACAAACTTGTACAGCATTGAAGTTGTATATTTAAAATTCCATTGATAAAACTATAATTTACTCCACTGAAATTAATTCTGAGAATTTGTCAGGAACGTTGAATCAAATGTGATTGATCCAGAAGAATCCACATTAATTTCAATGAGTGAATGAGTGTAAGAACTACAGTGTTCATATTATAAAAAGTACTAGTTAAATAAGAATGATATATAGGTTATATGTCTATTTGGATACATTTGTTTTGATTCTTGGTATATGGTGCACCGAGACCTTCATGCATACTATTAGTCACCTTCTCACTACCAATAAACATAGTACTTCAGCCAAGTTGTCTGGAAATATTTCTGAAATACTGTATATAGATAACATTATTTTTTAGACTTACTTTATTTTAACTTTATAACATTTTGCTTTCTTTATTGGCATGCCTCCTCAGAGTCTTTTGAATTAGGCTACATATAGTCCAATTGTTGCTGTCTTTGAATCTCTGAAATCTATAGCAGCCTGACACTATCTAGAATAAAATAAAATAAAACAAACAAACCCCAAACCCAATTGGCTTTTAGCTATATGTAAAGCATAAATGCCAGAAGCACTCCTCCAAAAATATTATTGTTTCTAAAATATTTATTTCTGCCATTAAAACATCTGAAAGCAAGTCATTCATTTGAAAAACAGAGGAAAGATTCAGGCTTTTTAAAGGAACTGGCAGTTCATTTTTCTACAATGGCGTGTGGTAGCTATCTAACAATTTCTAATGTCGTTCTCAACTAATTCTTGTCAATCCTTGATCCTAAACTATCAATTCCTACATTTTAATGTTATAATTGCAGTATTAAACTGATGATAAAAGGGCGTGGGGTTTAAATAGCGTGCAGTGTTCTAAATAATCTTCATAACAAAAGCTACTTTAATTTAGAAATTGTATGAAGATACAGCAATGGATTAAAGGGGGTGCGAAGAAGATTGTTTAGTCCACCTTATTAAAAATATTCCTACATTCAAACTCAGACTAAAAGTGATATTCATGAAAGATTGATTAGAAATGGTTGGTACTGGGTACTATTTAAGATCCCTTTTCGCCCCCTCTCATTAGGACTGGATTCCCTGGGGCGCAGCCTATTTCCATGGATGAACAGAATATTAAATTGTTAGAGCAGAAGCCATACAAAGTAAGTTGGAAAGCAGATGGAACTCGGTAAGTTGAAGTTCTTTGTAAATCAAAGGAGTAATTTCAGTAATTTTGATATGTTAGATTGGTACAGTTTTATATAGCCTTACAGTTTAATAAATTAGTTTATACTGAGGTTTCAAAATCTTCAGTCTGAATATTTTTAGCTTGCTTCTTACGTGTTACACCAATACTTTTCATCTTTTGTTTTAATGTGCATGTTTTGTCTTACCATGAAGGTTTTTTATTGTATAAATACTATGGTGTTTATTAAGGTCTGACGACAAATAAAATATATATTAAAATGGGATCATTTTGTTTTTAACACATACCAATGAATTATACTAATATGGGAAATGAAATGCTGCAACACCCAATTAACCTTATTCACTAATGTGATAGGGGAAGAACAACATAAGATCAGTTCGGTGCTGGTTGTTTTGGTCAGTGTGCAGGTGGGTACTTAACTAATGCCTTCAATTAACTGAAATTTAAGAGCAGAAGTACATGAAAGCTGACCTGTTAAGAAAATAAGCAGCTATAGTCAGGATGATTTAAAGAAGATTATATCCAACTGTGAATAACATAAAATATAGTGACAAAGGTTGAATATTTCATTTGTACATTTTTTCCCAATAGGGTATATCAAAAGTCAGGTCCCGTAGGCTGATCACAATATGTTTTATTCATTTTATTAATGATTTTTTTCGAGAAAATGTTACTGAATTTAGGCATGTTCAGAGGCACAATGAACGAGTAAGGAAATGCTTAGAAGAAAATGGCAATGAATTTAAACATTTAATATAATTTATATAATAAATTACCTATGGGGCCTTACTTTTGGCACCCCTTATTTAATAATAGTCTTTAAGCAGAAGTCTTGTATTCTGTATTAAAATCTGTGATTTTGATGAAACTCTAGAATAAGTAATGCTGCTTTATGTATGTAGCTTGCCTTAATCTGCTTTTCTGAAAAGTAGGATTGCCATTTGATAAATGTGCTAAGCTCCTTTCCATATTTTTTCCCCTAATTCTGAGATAGTTGAGATTCTGATATTTTGAATTGATTGCTGGAAATTTTTGATATGGTTATAGCCGTACAATTTTTTAAAGTTTGCTTTTACATTTAATAACTTGATACAAAGATAATTATTAGGGCGGCCTGAGAAACACTAAAAAAAAGTTTGTTTTATCTTGCCTGTTGGCATTAGTATTTTTTCTGATATCACATTGATAGGTGTAAATGTTTTAAAAATAGATAAATTGCTGAGTTTCCAAGTTAGCATATTTGGAATGCATCTTTTATAAATTAGGGATAGTCAACTAAAAAAATGAAACTCTGTTGTTAGAGTAGGAACAGAAATTGTTGTATGCTGCATTTTCCAAGATGACCATGGAGAAGGAGAACTTGAAGATGAACCAACATCTGGGATTGTCATTTGGGACCCAGGAAGTATACCTTCTCTGTTGTGACACATCCAGAGGTTCATTTGGGTGCTACCTTGATGATATTGTACAAGTTGTTAAAAGCCTGTCTAGTTTCCCAAGCCCTAGGATAGGATATTTGGGGCACCCTGAGTGATTGATTGATAGTCTTTGCAGATACTTAAATTAATTCTTTCTTTTTCCTATTTAAATATAAGCTGCCCAGAGTCATTTTGGAGTCAGGTGGCTTCTAAATTTAATAGTTAAGGGAGCTATAGTTTTACAAACATAACTTTGAAAGAAATAGGTTATCAACATTGAAATTATACAAGTAAGACAATTATCACAGGGAGGAGAGGTTTGTTCTCTATATGTGGTGCTCTTGGCTTTTATAATAAAAAGTATAATTAGCCCAGGTGGTTAGTGGCTTTCTCCAGTCCCTAGATACATGCCTCATTAATAATGTTTGTAGCAGATGTTTTTTCTAATGAGTAGAATTGAACGTTCAGGCCTGAATAGCATAGCAAAGGTAATGAGACACTCATCTTTAGGAGAGTAAAGCTACAGATAATTTTAAAAGGATGTTGGGAGTCTGCGAAATAAATGGTAGTTATGATGAGGCAATCCTACATTTTATGTGTAGAAATTTGCAAACTGACCAAAACCGATTATGTGAAATCCAAATGTTAGGATATTGCAATAATTTTGCTTTTGAGACTTACTTGTAATTTCCTGAAGTTATTAAAAGAGACACATAGAGGCAATGTTCCTTTAGCGTGAGGAAATTGTTTTTGTTTTGGAAAATAATTATTGCATTTTAATAAGATGTGCATAGTTGTTAGCTCTAACAAGCCAAATGTGAACATGCTAGCTCAGTCTGCTTTTCTGTGCAACATCTGTTGTTACATTTGAACCTGATTAACTTCGAACTTGCATAAATAATATTTTGATGATCGGGTTTTTTAAATTGGTTTAAGTAATTCAGCATAAAATCACAGTGGTTGCATTTCTCAAATACACAGAGATGTTTATAGGTAAAACCAGCAAATAAAACTTTTTTTTTCTCAGATAAAAAATATTGCTGGGATGTAGTAGGTAAAATAAAATATTTCTTTGAAGTGAGGTTAATGAAATTGCTTCCTGATAGTTTATAAAATTACTACATCCTTAAGTACTCATTTTTTCCTCTCTTTTTAATGCAAAAATGGGAAGAGTTAGGTTATAGGTTATGAAGATCTAATTTATACTAGAACTTAAGATAGTGCAAGGAGGCAGGGGGGATTCTGAACATGTGTTCAATACCAAAATGGAGAATATTCTTCTTCAACAAAATTCTGTCTTTGCTCCCCAAAGCAGCTAGCTTTGTTTGATCATAATCTAGAACCGATTCCTGGATTTCATTGAACACACTAATATCAACAAGGTCTGCATTTTAAGGGGAAAGGAGACACCTTGTTGTTGAAAATGTTAAACATTTGGTAATCAGATCATCCAGTAAATTGTTAGTAATTTCTGATATAATTTCTGCTCCATCTTTTATTTTATTTACTTGACTTATATTCCACTTTCCTACTTGAATGAGTACTCAGGATAGATGGTGAAAATTAAAGAGGAATCCAGAATTCAAACTATTAGAGTGTAAATTAAAATAATGCTAGGATTAATTTAAAAAAATGAAAATAAAGAATTTGATGGAAGAATTTTTTTATTTACAAATATCCTAAATGCTGAGAGAACGAAACTGCAGTGGATCCTGCAAAGAAACACATTCTGATCTTTAAAAGGAAATGCAGGCTGAAAACAAGCTGAACCTTAGTCTCAGAGTCTGGATTTTTATTAATCCAGAATACCCACATTTTGACTAGATTTTATTTTAGCTTGCTCATTATTAAACTAACACAGTGTTCCAGGGTACCAATTACTTTCTATGATGGTAAAAGGCAGGGTACTTGTACTCACAAAATGTGGCTGTCCATACGATTTCTCCTAGCAGTATCATGTGATGTTGAACAGAGTGGGAACAAGAGAGAAACCTATAGCAGGGGTCCCCAACTCCCGGTCTGTGGACCAGCACCAGGCTGCGGCATGCCAGAGACGAGGGCGCATAAACAACCGAAGCCTCATCTGCGGGATGCAGGCAGGATGTAAAACCACCCCCCTTTGGTCCACAGAAAAAACTCTCTCCACAGAACCAGTCTCTGATGCCCAAAAGGTTTGGGGGCCACTGACCTATAGGATAGAATAAACCATATTCTGGAAAAAAAGTCACAACACGCCGCGACATGTCACATGACATTGCGAGTTTGACACCCCTGCTTTATGATTTTTCTTGTATACTAGCATTTATATCTTTTTTTATTATGCCATGAATAATCAACAACTTTATGAATTTATACTTTGCTAAGGCAAAGCTATATTATCACTTTGTATGATTATGAACCCAGACTTTGATAGTCTGCTGAAAGTTTATTCATATTTTGAAATTCTCCAGTTTTTATTCACATCATTAATATGCCTTTATAAATATGTATGGTCTAGGGTTAGTGCTGTTTGTTTTTGAGGAGGATCTGAGGAAGTTTATGGACTGATTTAGAATAAAATGTGCCATGTGTACATTACAAACAAAAAAACCTGTTGCAAGCATGTAATATTTTAATAATTCTTTGCTATTCTTCTGTTAGCAGTTGGATACCACATCTTAATTGTGAAATGTACCATTTTTTAAAATAGAAAATAAATTCTTTGGAAATTATTTAAAATAATGCTAATATTTGGTTTTGATATTTTGACTGATTGTAGGTGATGAACAGCAATTTGAAGAACTTACTTTTTTAAATCATGCATCTTTAAATGTGCAATTTTTAATTATTTAACTTAGAACCTTTTATTAAAAATCATGTGTTTTATGAGACTATGTTTACTTTTATAAATTGCTAATTCCCAATTTATTTAGAAAATAAGGAAAGAGAATTGTAAACATTACTGTTTTGCAGTTATAAGCTAATGATACTATATATAGTAGATAAATGAAATATTGTTCTAGAAATCCAAAGAGAAAAATTAATATTATTTAAATAAAAAAGATGAAACATCAGTTTAGTTAATTCTGAAAATAGCTGCTGGTTTATCATACAAATACATCCAGGTAAAAATATATGTGTATTGTGGTGTCTAACAAGTTATATATATTCATACTAGATACGTAGCAAGAATAGAAAAATTACAAATCAAGTTACAAACAGGAAATTTGTACTGTATGTCAAGTTGATTTGCTATTGATGTTCTTGGCTAGTATTTAGCTCTAAAGTTCATGTCTACTATTCCTTTGGTTCAGAATAATTCATGCGTACATGCAAGTAATGACACATTTGCTTTTCTGCATTAAAGAGATTTGTTCCAACAATGTTATATATTAAGCTTATATAAATATTTTTTTTTAAATTTTATTTTGTAGCAAGCGGTAGGCAGGTCAGAACATGAAGAGTTATGCTCTAGCATTCATTGTGTTCTGGCTTGCTTAAAGAGTGTGCAAGATGTAATTTTCGGTGATCTATATCTGTTTTGCCCTAATGTAGTTTCAAATGTACAATGAACAATAAATGCTCCTAAAAATCACAGATTCAGACTTAGCTTGAGTTGAAAGTACTGTGTTTCCCTGAAAGTAAGGCCTACCCCAAAAATAAGCCCTAGTTTGGGGGCGAGACACACCCCTAAAAATCAAGCTGGGGTGGGGTATGGAGTTGCCCCACTCGCCCCGCACTTACTTACCTTGCTGCCAGACCTCTCCTCGCTGGCCCACTTCTTTTGCGGCATCTTCTGCAGCCAGGCCTCCATTTCTCAGTCACAGGTCTTTCTGGAAGGCCACTGCAGCTGGTACTCGGCTGCAGTGGCCTTCCAGAAAGGCCTGACTGCGAAATGCAGGCCTGACTGCAGCTGCAGAAGAAGTGGACTGGCACGGGCAGGGCTGTCAGTGCCTGAGGTGAATATAAAAGACATCCCCAGAAAATAAGACCTGATGCCTCTTTTGGAGAGAAAATAAATAAATAAAAATAAGACCCGATCTTATTTTCGGGGAAACATGGTAGCAGTTCCCCTTTCTGTTTGAAAGAAAGTTCGTTAAGAGGGATGAGATTCAATAACTATAGAGTGAACATTATGAAGGAAATAGGGCTTTAATTGATATTACATTCTTTTTTCCCTTAGGTATATGATGTTAATTGATGGTAAGAATGAAGTTTATATGATTGACAGAGACAACTCTGTGTTTCATGTGTCTAATTTGGAGTTTCCGTTTCGTAAAGATCCACGTGTGCATTTAGAAAATACTCTTTTGGATGGGGTAAGAGGTTTTCTTTGCAGAATCATACTTTTCTTAAATTCAGTATTGGATTTTGTAGTGATTACTGTAATGGTACTACCCTACTAGGGCAGACTCCTAGGATTCACAAAATAAATTGCTATTTACCAAATATGTGTCCTTAGGATTGGTTTCTAATATCTACACTGTAATAATATCTTTATTTTATTGTTTCTACTCCCAAGTTCCAGAGTTGGAACTCATCAGAGAACCGTTAAAAGTGAGAAATTTTAATAGAAATAGCTCCTTGTTTTTGCTGGTATCATCATTCCACAGCTGAACAAATATCACTTTATCTTAACCTAAGATTGCAATGATCTTTGGTGAAATAGCACGTAAATGCCTCAACCAATGTTGTTTTGCTTTAAAGAAATTTTTATTAAAAGTTTTACAAAAAACATACATGCACAAATTAATAAGGAGTTAAAGGAGAAAGGAAAGAAAAAAGTGCAGAAAGAGAACAGAAAAAAGAAGCTTCCATTTTGTTCTGCAGCAAGAGCACTTAGACTCAGCACTTAGACTTATATACTGCCCCATAGCCCTTTACAGCACTCTCTGAATGGTTTACAGCAGGCATGTCAAACTGCTGGCCCGCAGGCCGGATGCGTCACGCCGAAACCACGCCCACCCCATTGCCGTCACGTGACGTTGCAAGTTTGACATGCCTGGTTTACAGAGTCAGCATATTGCTCCCAACCATCTGGGTCCTCATTTTACTGACCTCAGAAGGATAGAAGGTTGAGTCAATCTTAAACTGGTCAGGATTGAACTCCTGGCAGTCAGCAGAGTTAGCCTGCAATACTGCATTCTAACCACTGTGCCATCATGGGTCCTAGTAAATACAAAATTACAAAATTAATTCTTGCTCTGTGATTACAAAGGAAAGCAAAAGAGCACTTTTTCTATGATACAGGTTTTTTTTCTAATCATCAAAATCACAAACCATGAGTGCATTTTTCCCCACTTCATGCAAGAAGTCTGCAAGGGGTTGCCAGGCAGTTATAAATGTTTTTCCCCAATCAAAAAAATTAATTTAGCCATCTCCTCATGTTCCATGCGGAATCTGGTTTAGTTGTATTTTAATCTTTAGAATCTTCTGATTTATGCATGTATGCATTTGTATCCACAATGTTTTGGCTTTTTTTACATATACACCAAACATGGTAAAATGTCCCTTTTTGCTCACATTTTCAGCCTATTTGAAGTAACTTTATAGATTCTAGAGAATTTGTCTGGTGGCAAGTACATCATTTTATAAAAATTCCACTACAAAGCAAGTTTTCTTTATGCTACAAGTTGTGATAGATCATTAGTAGTGAAATGTGTCTCTGTCATGTTAGTCACCAATGAAAAGGGCTGAAATTGGTCCTGGGCAAGAGATACTACTATATTTATTTTACTATGGAACTTTACAAAAATGCCCTGCTGTTAGAGCAACATGTATCTACAGATCATTTCTTAGCTGATTTAATTCTTGAGTATTTTAGGCATGTTTGTTCATTTTAACCTATGTTCTGCCTTTTGTCCAGGAGCTCAGGGCCATTCACATGGGGGCATTTTCCTTCATTTTGTCCCTACAGTAACACCACAGTGATGGTCATGGTGGTTATGGGGAAAGAAATGAATCACGATATATCTTTTAAAATCTTTAATCACCATCACTTTATACAGTTTCATACTTGGGTTTATTTAAACTGGCAGTAATGAGTTCCCTTACCCAACCCATAACTTTCAATCCAATGACGTGCAATATCTTTTCCAGATTTGCTGTCTCTTCCCAGGACCAATGACTTCAGTGCAGTGGGAGAGGTTTTTGTTTCAAAAGTAAAGTTTTTCTTCATCTAAACCTGGAAGATTAAAAAAGACCAAAAGAACAAATTAACAGATATTTAAGAATAAATCAGAGGGCATATTAGTCGTTGCAGCATAAGTATAAGTCTCAACAAGAGTCATAGGCTCTTAGGTTTAATATTGGTCTGAATAAAAGCTGTTTTTATTTAGTGCCTTGAAAACCACATGCACATGATTAAAATACCAAGGTGCTTGTTAAATATAATCACTTTGCAACTAAATCTATTCATTCTTCAGACTCCTTTATTGGCAGTTCGGCGCATCAGTTGAATAAACCTACACAATTCCCCCTTCCCATAGTTATTTTTTGTTTCCTTAGCAACACAATAGGGAAAACAGAAATCTTCACAGAGATTACTGTTCTCTCTTATTGTTCTCTTTCAAAGTTACAGGCACACACAGATACAGTACTCAGAACTTGAAGTATTTACTGTAGTTGAAGTAAATACAACAGACTGAAATGTAATTCAAAAGCCTACCAGAGAGTGCTTGCCTGAAAAGTGTCATTAGAGTCCAAAAAGCAATTATCCTATTCCAAATATTTTCCATGAGTCACAGTAAGCCAAATTAGGTAGTCAGCCAGTCAAGGAGTCACAAACAAGAAACAGGAACAAGAGTCATGAACTGGGAAGCCAAATGGTTGTCTCCAACAAAGACTGCAAAGATGCTATCTAAATCTGCCTGCAGACTGCTGTCTGCAATTACTCATGCCTCACCTTTTGCTTAGTGAAGAGCCTCAACAAGGACTGTTGTTCTGCTTGACTAGGTATATATCTAAACCTAGAACTTAGGTGGGGGCATTGTGCATAGTCACCTGTCTGTTCTAGTGGAACAGGAAATGTCTGTGGCTCTTCAGCCTCAATTGAATCCTAGCTTACTGATTCCTGGGGTTAACAATCCTGAAGCACAGACAGGAGCAACATAATCAGATTCAAGGTCAAAGTCAGATTCTGCATCATGGCTCATAATAGTTACTGCCTTCGGCACAATAATGTTGTAATTCCTGAATTTGATTGATTTCATGTTAATGAAAGAAAGAATCTGCTATTCAGATGAATGTACAGCTGTAGCTTTGCCTCAGAATGATTATATCTTGGTATAATCTTATGGGTTCCTAGTTTCAGTTATTTTCTGCAAGGGATTATGAACAGGAATTATAAATGGATCTGCTTTTCAAAAATTATTCCTAAAATGCTGATATTGTAAATTGTATCCTTGAATATAAAAATAAATGATAAAATTCTAAGAAAGCTGCTGCATTATACCATTTTATTCCCACTTACCTCTTTTCAGTTGCCTTCTTGATTTTGACAAAAGACAAAAATAAACCAAATCAACCATGTTGAAAACAGTGTCCAGTATGAAAGAATGTTTTAGTTAAAATCAGTTGTGGAAATCATAAACTAATCTTTAATTAAAATCAATTGTTGAACTGTTGCCAAAGTTGTTGAATGAGTATTAAAATACTGTTTTGCTTTTCTTTTTAAGGAAATGATAATTGACAAGGTAAATGGTCAAGTAGTTCCTCGGTACTTGATATATGACATAATAAAATTCAGTGTAAGTATGTTGTATTTTGATTATCCCAGTTGACTATGGAACCTGTAGGTTTAGAAGGGAGGAATGTTTTTTAATAAATATAGATAAATCAAAGAGTGCCATTGGAAAGACCAGAAGAATGCACACAATCACATCAGTCAAATGATATAAAGCATATAATAGAGTGCCATATTTGTGGAAATATAGTATGCACTTTCAAATATGTTTACAGTGGTTTGAATGATAGAACTAATCGGAGTTCTAAAGTTAGTCCATGTTTTTCTAAAAGTTCTTGAAGAATTCTGTTAAGATAAACTTTGATGTTTTTTTTAAAAAAGAAATGGGGTGATATAGAAAATTGATGAAGAACTGCAGGTGTAACTTCATTTTTAGGTAGACTATTTAGAGCTGCCCAAAGTCGTTTGCTGAGATAGGCGGCTATAGAAATCAAATCAAATCAAATCAAATCAAATCAATAAATTTAGGGAACTTGGGAAGTACAAGTAGCTTTGCCTTATTGAACTGAGAGAACAGTGGATTTTCTGAATGAACTTCCAGTTATAGATTTAGCATGCCCAGAATAGAAGGGAAGGCAAAACCTGTGTTATGTACTGAAAGTGTGCCAATTATTGCTCTCTGTTCTATTTGTTTTGTTTTGTTTTATTTTGAGCCCATTGTTGTCTCTGCCTCTCATTACTATTTTGTCAATACAGTATTCTATTTTTTAATTCAGTAAATTATTTTTTATGGATCGCTTGTTTGCTTCTTTGCTGAAACATAGTTTTTCTTATTATCAGAAAAGATTCTGATAATATTCATTCTTATTCAATAAAGCTAAGATGTTCTAGAAGTTGTTGAACTGAAGATGCAAAAGGTTGTTTGATTCAGTAAGCAAAGAAGGAAGGTCTGTGGTGCAGGCTACATTTTATTAGTATACTATCTGTGGTTGCAATCAGTAATGTTTGTGTCAAAATATTTTAGATTGCATTGAATTCAGTGGGAACCTCTAAAGCAGGCATGTCAAACTCGCGATGTCGCGCAACGTATCGTGACTTTTTCCCCATTGCTGGCAATGGGGTGGGCGCAGTTTTGGCGTGACGCATACAGCCCGTGGGCCGGCAGTTTGACATGCCTGCTCTAAAGGGACTTTACTAAACAGCATTGTGCTTCCAATTGAAGGACAAGTTCAGCCTATATGTTATCAGCAGAAGCAGAAGCAGAAGCAAGACTTTATTGGAAAAGGGCCATTAACAGCAGCCAAGCTGTAAAGATTTGTTAAAGTCAATAAACTGTCTTTATGCTAGATATAAAGGTTTAATTGCAAAAAATAAAAGGTTAATAATATTTGATTTGGCAAGAAGTAACATGGGCAGAAAGCCAGTTTGTTCTAGAGATTTAGGGCACCAAACTAGAAATTGGGAGACCGAGTTGTAGCCATGCCTTGGACACAAAGCAGCGATGTGGCTTTGAACCAGTCATTCACAGTCAGCCCTAGGAAGCAGGCAAGGGCAACCCACTTCTGAAAATGCTGCCAAGAAAACTTCAAGCACACATACGTGTTACATGCTTAAGTAAGGGCTGTCAGTACTGTCTTCTTTTTCTTTGACATTTACACAAGGTGGAGTTCTAAAACATAAACTTTTCTCATTAAACTTAAAGGCAAACTTAAGGCAACTCTGGTTCATGTGCTTTATTTAGGAGATCAGGTTAATCGATTTAAAGTGGCTTGAAAAATGAACCATTAGCTCAAGTGGAATTGCACCTAAATGACATGGCTCTTCCCTCTTTATTTAAAGACTAAGAGATTTAAGCTACTAGGAAAACAATAAGAAAGGAAACCTTTAATTCAAAAAATGTTTTGACAATACCAGAAATAAAGTTGAGTCCAGGCTAATTATTATCCTGCTGTGCTATACTAGCAAAGAGGGAAATGCTCACAGTTTCTTGTTGATAATAGACTGTTTGCTACCCTCACAAGGCAGCTTATATGAGTGGACTAAGCTGTCCTCCCCCTTGTTTTCCTAGAAGATAAAAAGTGCTATTGCTGATGATCTTTGGTTCTCTAACTGACAACAGAAAGCAGTTTTCTCTTCTTGATAATGGAAAGATGAGATTAAAAGCTAGTCAAAACAACTGATCCAAAGATTTTGGGTGTTGGGAAGTACAACTACTTTAGTAGTTCTTTAATGTTCTGAGAGGAGAAATAAAATGTACTATTCAAAATGAAGACAGTTATTTTTTTCTTAGACATGCTCTGTCTAAATGCAAATTGGATTCTTCAAGGTTAAATAATGGGAAGAGATGTAATTTTCTTTACAGGAGGCCAGACTAATTAATACGGGTCATTCTGGTCTTAAAAATCAAAGTCTGAGCTGATAATTTAGTCAGCATGTGATGAATTAATTTACCCATTTCTTATACCATTTCTGCAATAGGTGTAAGAGAATTCAATTACTTCCTTCAGCTTAAAAAAAAAGCTTCAAAAATTTGAGATCCAAATTTGTTAATGTAGGCACAGTTAAGAAAAGGCTTGTGAGGGATGGAATTAGGATTTGGTTTATTCTTCAAAAGACATACTTTGAAAAACACTGGAATACTGCACTAACAATATTTTGTGCAGTTGCTGTAACATTTAAAAATACTAAGGCTTTTATCTAGAGTTGTATATCCAAGTCACTTGAGATCTATCATAATTGCATTATATATTACAAGCAAGGTCCTTAAACTCAGTTCTAGTATATTGGTTTAAGCATTGATAGGCTGCAGACTTGAGACTCACAATTTACATCATCTGAAATGAGATATTTCCTTATCAAGTACAGTGACATTAGCTACTCTTTCCTCCAATGTGTGTGTGTGTGTGTGTGTGTGTGTGTGTATGTATGTATGTATGTATGTCTGTATGTATATGTGTTTGTGTATATTTTCAGGAAATTTTCTCTATAAAAATAGCAAAATACATATAACCAAGAATTTTTGCTAGATTTCTAATCTTGGTTTTCTGGTTGTGTTAACTCTTTAACTCTTCTTTATTTTTCTGTATAAGTTATAGCACAGAGTGTTTGGCATTCATTTGTGTGGCAAACAATTGTCGTGAATGTTCAGAATGTTTTTTTAAAAAAATATTCTTGGAATCTATAAAATTTTGATTTCTTTTTTTGGTATCCTGTAATATTTTGAACCAAGGGCTGTTTATTTGTAGCAGATCAGAGCCATCTTGTGGTCTCTTTAATATCTTGTGTTGTCTTCCCCTCCCTTCCCCTCCCTTCCTTCTGCTCATGTTTGGCATTTGAATGTTAAAAATACCAACTTAGAAATGGTCAGGTATTGAAAAGTTGGAATACTGAAATGAAAAGATTTCCTGGAAACATTACCTATTTAAAGACTAGGCTTTCTTTTCCCAGATCAATGAGGGGGCTGCTAAGAATAGTAAAAGCTGTAGAAAATAAAAGAAATGGGCAGGTGTTTCAGATGATTGCAAGCTATACAAAAAAGTGTGACTGCTTTTGAGGACGAGTTTATTTGGGGAGGGGAGATTTGCCCAGTGACTTTTAGCTATGTTTCTAACATTTAAATAGGGCACCTCTCATTTTCCTTTCATTCTCGGTTACCTTTCCCCCTTACCTACTTCCATCTAGTTTTGTTCATTTGTGTCTCTACCCCTTTCAACTATCGTTCCTGTTGTCCATCTCCATTCAGTATTTTTCCTATTTGATGCTTGAAAGAAGAGGGTGGGGAATGGGTGCATGCATGTATTTGAATGTTTCTATGTGTGATAGAGAATTATGGGTTTATTTAGAGGGGGTTCAATTTATTTTTTCTTTTCTTTTCTTTTTATTTATTAATCATATTTTAGAGGCACATAATTTAAATTACTAGTAATTAATTCAGCTTATTTTTTATCCCAACCATGCAACTCTTTGAAGCTTTTTTGATAGATGTAAACTACACTTACACAAACGCACCTGCAGACACACAAATATGTCATATGCACATGTTCACTGAGGAGAGGAAGGACTGATTTTAGTTAAAGTTGGCAATCTAGTAGGAAAGCTAGGGGCTTCACAGGACTTTACTTATACTGTGTTTCCTGGCCACATGTTTTGAGGGAAGGGCAGAGCTCATAAAATTGGGTTTGCCTTTGTTCTGGGGAAATAACAGTAGATGTCATTCTTTCCTAAATTGACAGGTTTCTATGCTGATGATTGACCAATGGTTCTGGCAGCTGTTCTCAACCACAGTTGCAACTTGGCCTGATGGTGGCATACTTGAGTTGCCTCTCTGACCTGCTTACATTACTCCTGTCTGGTCTTTGCATGTATCTGGTCAACCCCATACAGTGTCTAGCTTGTGATCTTATAACTACCGAGACTTTCCCATTAATAGAACTCTAAATATTTTATTTCTTATGCTTCAGTATTGTTTTATTGCTAGTAAAGTATTACTAATTATTTCAAATGAACCATGAAATTGAGCAAATACTTTAATTAAGAAGTGTTTAAAGTGTTTGCGCCTCAATTAAATGGACTCCTCCCAGCAGACTTTAGGTACAGCATATCCAATTTCCATGTAATCTTATGACATCTGTGGTGATTGATGTTATTTATACCAGGATGTAAATGACCATGACAACGTCCTTGCATGTTGAATAAATAACTTGAGAATAATGGACAGCCTCTTCACACATATGGTCCATTATTAAGAAATAAGTGACTATTATTTCGTTCTCTTAGACAAAACTTACCATGATAATTTATAAATAATGCTACAGAATGTGAGTGTGGTCTAAATTTTTGATTTCATTTTTGAATTACAGATGATTTATGCATTTAGCATTGGCACAAAATGATCTGCAGTTTTTCAACAGCTATATCAGAGATATTTATTTTCTCTTACATACCAAAATAATGCATCACGGGTGTACAAGGTTTGGGTCAAGGAATTATTTTCTATTCCTTAATCAGTTTGACTATAAAGTGACTGGTCCTCTTGATGAATACTCAGTGACCTCTGGACCGTTTGTGATAGTCAAACATGTGATAGTTGAAAATTGTCAAGAAATTCATGAAACCTGTAGTGTAAACTTTAAGTAGACTTCAAAAGAAAAAGAAATCTCTAGTCCCTTTCCAACAAAGCCAAGAAAATAATGGCTGCTCCCACATAAATGCTGTGACTTGTTTGCTCTGCATCATTGTCCTGCTGTAAACCAAGGAAACACTAAATGTGGCTCTTACGTGCAAACAGGTGGCTTACTTTATTGTGAATAATTTGTTCAGGCTTTCAGTGAAAGATTCTACTAGAATAAAGTGGGAAGCTCCATTAATTAAATGTATATGCTGCTCACCCCACTGTTGCAGCAACTCTAGGTGGCTTGCAGGGTGATAGAAATAAAATACAACACAATTAAAATTAAGAAAGATTAAATAAAGACTAAAAACCAAAGGACTGGTGACTTGGGGGGTGGGATCTTCTCTGTATCCCATCTGCCATCCTCAGAATAGAGCACCATTACTGGGTACCCCAGACCAGCTGGCAGAGCCAGGTTTTAAGGCTATTTTGGAAAGCCAAGAGGGTGGGGGCCGACCTCACCTCTGGAGAGAATATTCCAAAGGGTGGGGGCCATAGCAGGAAAGGTTCTCTTGGACTCCAGTTGAAATCCTTTGGCACAAGGATCTGAAGTAGGCTTCTTCCACTGGAGTGAGACAGCTCCTCAGATTATTCCATTTCTGTTGACTCTTTTCTGTCCATGTTTTTCTTTATACTCTGAAATTACAGAGAAAAATTGTTGAGGTTTACCTTTGCAAAATCCATAGGGATTTCTCTTCAAGAATTGTGCATGTAAAGGCTTAATAAATACATACATAAATACATACATATTAACCAGTTTGTCCCAAACAGATACACTTAGCCTGAAAATCCTCCTACGCTTCTTTAAAACTCTAGTACCAAAATTGCTGCTTCCAGTTCTTTGGTAAAAGTGAAATATTTTGATTAGACCAGACATTTTTACTTTGGAGTTATTTAAATATTTTCAAATGGAGTCTATCTGGATCTGATGATTTAACTTTCTACGGTATGTATGTGTGTGCATAGCCAGTTTCTGTATTTGAACAACACGAACACACATGCGTGCATGCGCACGCACACACACACAGGCACACATATACACACAAACCCCTTCGTATATACTGTACATTACCTTATAATATTTGTAGCCCTCAATTCAATTAGCTGTGCTATTTGTAGAAACCCAACTTCATTATTTAAAGGTCAGCATTAAGAAATTAAAGTGAAATCTGATATTAAATGCATTTTAATGTGTTGAATCATTAATATGTCATAGATTGGTATAAGAAATATATTTAGATTACTTGCTTTGGATGGTCAGTTTATGTTATTTTATTAAGTGTTATTTTATGACCATGTATTTAAGATAATAGTTTAAAGTAGAAGAAAGATTACATACCAGTCTTAATAAAGAAACTTCTATACTGAGACATAAAACTTCTTAGTATTGTTTTAAGTGGGAATGGGTGTCTTATATTGATTTGGAAGGAAGCAGTTTTGGGAAATGCAGGAGGATAGTGGGATTGGCATTTCTAATGGGTGGTTTTAAAAAGGATCTAAGTAATAAGGAAAGTATAACCTACTTTAGGGGGAAAAGGACGTATTTTTTGAAGGAGAAGGTATGAATTGTCAAAATATCTCTTTGGTTAGAGTGACTGCTTACATTTGCTGTTTTTTTGTTCAAATTTCTGGGCAAGATCAATCATTGTACTCCATGCTTGTTGTAGTAGACTGTCCCTGTAAACTATAAGGATAATTACAGCCCTTTCTCTCTATACATTTTGCTGCCCTCTGAATTCTTACCCACAGTTTTTATTGGCATCATCGAAGCTTTGCTGAGATCAATAAATACACTTGTGTGTAAATGAAAGGAAGAATGGAGAATGCGTATATTGTTAGTCTCCAATACATCTCTGATTGAATCGACATTAACTTTTTTGATCCATTGTAATAAACAGACCATAATGCATTATCCATCAGTACATTACACCTTACTGGGAGAGTGAAAGCCTTTTTAATTGTTGGCATTCATGCAGTAAAGGGAATATTATAGATGGATGATGGGAAAAAATGAAGTAGAGAAATTGATGGGAGAACAAACTTATATAAGGAAAGTGGAGGGAATGTGGAATACTCTTGAAAGAGACTCTAGAGCAGTGTTTCTCAACCTTGGCAACTTTACGATGTGTGGACTTCAACTCCCAGAATTCTCCAGCTAGCGTTGCTAGCTGGAGAATTTTGGGAGTTGAAGTCCACACATCGTAAAGTTGCCAAGGTTGGGAAATACTGCTCTAGAGGCTCCAGAGCAAGAGAAGGGTCAACATGGACTGAATGTATCTACTTGAGAAAGACTAAAAAGAGAAGTGGAGTAACGAAAATGGAAGACAGAGAAATATGAAGGAAAAAATTAGATAATTGAAATCTTGCTGTGCAGACGTAGGAATGTGCTACTGGGCACAAAAAAGAAAGGAGACCGTTAATAAAATATAAGTTAGATTTGTCCCTAGTTTGAAGTGGCGTTCTTAAATCAATAAATATAAAACTGTTTTCAGAATGATTTGAACTCTGATAGGAAAGGAGATGTCCTGTTTCCCTTCCAGTCATTATTTTTGTTTCTAATCTTATTGCTAGAGCAAAATTGTGACAGTATTAGAGAATCATTGTTGAGTTAAACACTCCCAAGTGAAATTTTCTTGCCTTCAAGCTAATTTTTTATAAATTGTGTATTTATGGACTTCTGATATTTTAATTTGGCAGGGACAACCAGTTGGAGAATGTGATTTTAATATTCGTCTGTCATGTATAGAAAAAGAGATTATACTCCCACGGCATGATAAGATGAAGAATGGTCAAATTGACAAAGCACAAGAACCTTTTAGTGTTCGTAACAAACCATTTTTTGACATCCACGTTGCAAAAAAGGTAAAAAAAAACTCTTGATATCTGCTGAATAGTAATTTTCTTAGCATATAATGCTTCAAGCCTTACAAGACTTTCCTAAATTTAAACATATGCTTTTTAAAGTGTGTTTGTTTGTTTGTGTGTGTATGTGTATGTACATGTACATGTGTAGAAATAGCTTTTCAATAGATTCCAGCTTCTAATTATGTTTTTTATTCTCAGAAAAGTGCAGGACTAAATCAGGCATGCAACTAAGTCAGAATTTGATCTCTTAATGAATAACATTGCCAGTTATTTTCTGAGAAAATGTTTCTTTCCTCAAATTCTCAAGGAAAAAGCAAGGGGCCAAGAATAAAGCCACACATAGCAGAGTGTGAAGGAGGACATCTAAAATGTCCTTTAGTGAGTATTTAACTGTCAGCAGCTTTGCAAAATTCTTGCCTAGGTTGGGAAATAGCAAAAATAAATATTATTTCATAAATAACATGAATAAATCTCCTTATTAAAGCCTGATTATAGGGCAAGAATCAGGCCTGGAAAGATTGAATACAGGCCTCTTATGTATTAGAGATATGGCCTTTGCTGACCTAATGATCCTGTTAATCAAGAGACATGCCAGATTGATGTATTACTTCACTTGCTTTTGATATTTTTTATTAAAAAAATGTATAGTAGTATGTGCTGATTTGCATTTGTTCTTATTTATTTGTTTCCACTATGATATACTTAAGAAATGAATTACTGTTCTATTGATACTTGTAAGTTCATATACAAAACATAACTTATTATTGTATCATTCACTAAATGTCAGTCTGGAAAACTTATCAACATGGGCATACAGCTTTGCTTTATCATTTCAACTGGTAAATGCTTCAATGAATAAGAGAGCTTTTCAGTCTGAAATTAAACTCATTAGACAAGCAATAAACCTTTCAGTTAATGGAATCACGAAGTCTTAATACACAAAATCTGAATGTTTTGTGCTCTCTAACAGAAGTATCATTTCATTTTTCATTTTTTCCTTCTGTGTTAGTAACAGTTATGTATTATAGTACTTACGCCAAAGCGTCCTTTATAGTCTATATGACTATATTTTCAGTGGTCATTAGATTTCCAGATGTTTCTGGAAAATGTAGTCCTGTCCTATAATAGAATATATGTTAAACTTAATTAATATATGAGGAAAATATAATAGCTAATGATTTCTAACACTAAATATATTCAAGTTGGGCCTGCACTAAATTTATTAAGTATATTGCCATGGCAAATAGTTACGTCATGCAAAGTGCTTTTGTTAAATTTTATTTAGTCAGACATACATTATCCAGGAGAATTCCATTCTTTTATCCCAGGGTAAACCCTTTCATGATGAATAGACTTTCATTCCAGAATTCTCAGCATCAGCACTAGCCTTTCTAATTGGGAATTAATGGGTTGAACTATAGATGCCAAGGGTCCCCATTCATGGGAAAATCATGTTATCCTATTTTTCCTACCATCAGTCATAAGCAGTGCTTTTTTTCTAAAAAAAAAAAAAAAAGTGCCGGAACTCACACACGTCATACAACCCACCTTGCCTACCCTATAAGGTTCCATCCAAAAAAGGTGCTGGAACTCTGTTCTGGGCGTTCTGTGAGAAAAAAAGCCCTGGTCATAAGTCTTTGAGAGATGCAGTTTTTATATTGAAGAGTTCTAAAGGGTCTTCCCGCACTTTTTTTCCTCAGTATTTTGGCCTCCTGCAAACTTTGGGTTTTGCTGATGCCAACTTGTATGCAGATGTGTTGTTTAGTTAAATAAGTTTGTGTTTTCTTCTGAACCTTAGAAACAGAGAAAATGATAAGAACTTCAGAGTAAACAACAATGTTCAGTGGCATTTTAATACTGAATCATTTAGTAGAGTCTGTTTAATCAAAGTGCATTGCACAATAGATTTTTCTGTTTTTCCCATGGAAATGGCGCCTGATCATGAGCCATATAATTAATAATGAGAAAGTTGAATTTTGTGCTTGGATTTAAAGATTATCATTATGTAATTATTCTTTAGTAAGCATTAGTCACTTTCTTATTATTTATTGCTGTAACTGCAGATTTCTATCTTGCTGCATATTTATAAATCCATCTAGGAAGAATATATTTGGTTACCTTATAAGGCTAAGAGAAGAAATAGGGTAAGGGGCATGGGACTTGAGGAAGAGGTAAGCAAATTGGATCTGCCTTCTGTTCCCACATTTAATATTTCTATAGTTATTTTCTGAAGTTTTGCTCATCTCTAGAAAGTAATATTGAACTGTTTTCCATCCTCTTATCTTAGTAGAGTAGGGAGTTTTGAAATAATGATATTTCAGACTTGAAATTAATAATAATTGGTAGAGGATGGATTAGCATTTTGTCATTGTAAAATGAAAATGTGCTAAACATTGAATAGAACAAAAAAAAAATTAGAAGAGACAAGAAGAAATATGTGTTTATTGAACTCACTGACTTCTATAGCTAGAGAGAGGAACAGTTGACACCATCTGGAGCTATTACGTTGCCAAAATCACGACCCCCCCACTCCTTCCTTTGTTTTATTTTCAGTTTTGTTTTTATTTTCTAGTCCACCAGTAAGTCTGAATCACTTATATCAGCCCTGTATTTTCTGCCAGAATTGACATAGCATTATTTTCTCTGCCTTTTCTCAGCTCCATCTGTTCATTCTCATTTGTCCCCTATTTGTCACTATCTTCTACTGTTGTCTCTCCTCCCTATGCCTTCTCCGTTTTGCATTGTCATTTCTGCTATCTCCATTTCCTTGGAAAAATACCTAGTAGTATTCATTTCTTTTGCTTTTATTAATTTGATCACTGTTCTCTTCTTTGCCTTGTTATTTCACTGTTTTTGTTTTTTCCCCTGTGCATTGTAAGAACTTGTTTCTTTTTTTTTTCTTATTAAAGATTTTATAAAATTTTACAATATAAATCCCCCCTTCCCCTTCCCGCCCTTCCACCCCCCTCCCTCCCCCCTCACTTCCCAGTGCCAATCACAGGGTTAACAATAACATAATCATACTCTAATTAACATTAATCAACTATTAAAATAACATATCTGTAACCTCCTTTAACTCTCTTTTAAACAATACAATTATTAAAAACAATAATAACAACACTTTAATAATTAAAAATAATACTAAATAAAATATTCTAACCTTTATACAACCATAATATTCCAAAATTTACTCAAAAACCAAATGATATTTATTAGTCCCATATTTACGCTCAATATAATCTATCCATCTTCTCCAAACCAAAATATATCTTTCTTGCGAGTGATCCTTCACATAAGCGGAAATCTTGGCCATTTCTGCTAAATTCGAGACTTTGAATGACCATTCTTCTATAGTAGGTAAACGTTCCGTTTTCCAATATTGAGCTACTAATTGTTTCTTAATTTCAAGTCATGCTATGAAACATGATCCTGACTGAATCATGATTAACACTCATCAAGAGTGTTGCTTTCAGTTCCAAATCAAAATAAAATACACTAGAACTAAGGTTTCGAAGCTGATGAACTGCACATAGGATTTTTGTTTTGTTTATTTGTATTACCGGAATCTGCCCTCACTGCTGTTTCTTCCTAGTTGCCCTCCAGCTGCTCCTGTTTCTCTCTCACAGTTCCTTCATTTCCTTTCTTAACAGCTGTCCATACCACCCCTCCATTTCTGACTTGAACAATAAACTACACAGTCACAATTTACTGACTGCTGGGATTTGCTTTTTTGGAATACTGCAGATAAGGTTGCTATAGCTGTCAGTTCTTTGGGCTGAAAATAAGCACTGAGAGTTGCTTATACAATTTCACTGATGAGTATCTAAAGCCAGACACTATTGTACCCTGTTTCTTTCATTTTTGAGGTAACCCTGTCAAGAAAAAAGAAGCATGTAAATCAGTTTGTGTGATATTCTATTTTTCCCCCATATATTTTATTGATTTTTTGAAAACATAAATCACTTAATAGTTGGTAAACAGTGTGTTTTCTGGGTTTACATTTGTAAAGAAAAATCATTAACAATTGATTAATAGTACATTTAGTTGATTTCCCTCTTTTCCCCAAAATATCTTCTTTGCAAACCTTGAAATAATACAGTTCTTATTATTTTGATAAATAACAATTACATATATGATTTTTCCCAATATTCCTAGAAATGATCACATCAATATAATATTTCTTTTTTATCTAATCATTCTGGTTGCCTCATTTTATATTCTGTTACAGTCCTTATTTAGATTTGTTCCTCCCATAAAGTTCAAAGTATTCTTGCTGGTTAAGATTTTCTCAACAGATAATTACATTTAAAGATTTAAATCCATTTTCCCCATATAAACCATCTCAACACTTTTACATTTCTTAAAGAATAGGTAAAAACAGTAAAGAAAAGGAAAAAAGAGCAAGAGTAAAGAAGCATAAAAAGTAAAATACTACTTAAAATATATATTCCTTCTAAGCTAATATATATTCTTATTCTTTTTAACCATGATTAAAAATATATTTAATCTTTAAATATTCCATTTAATGTGTCTAGTCATCTAATCCTTTAACTCTTATTCAAAACATTTTTTCTTTTTTATACTTTATATTTTCCATAAATTCAGACACATTTAATTATCTAAAACATTTCCTTCATCTAGGCCATTTCAGCAGTATTTTATTACTTATATCAAGAAATAAAATAAAAGGGGGAAAGTGTACAGTATCATTTAAGGAATTCTTCTCTCTTAGAATGACATATGTATTCAGAATCTTTTCTATTTCTTTAACCATAGTCAAACAAATGTTTCTTTTTTTAAATATTCTCTCTGGTAGATTCCATCATCTATTTTCTTAATTTTCACTTTGATCTTTTTCCTTTGACCAGTATCTTTCTTGATCAATGTGTTTTGCTGAATCAAAAAGTTTTTCCATATATTCTTGACTGTTGCTGTAGGTATAAGAAGTAAATCGAATAAAATGTCTCTATGTGAGGCTTTTGCCTTTCCATGTTTCT